AGTAAAAAATAATCCTGTAAAAAAAAAAACGGTAAATAATCCTGTATAAAACGGTAAACTACTGGCAGCTGTGGTTACCAGCATCATACACTAAAAATACAGTGTGTTACTGTTTTCGAAATTAACAGCTAAATACTGTATTGTCAGCCACAGTATAAAACTTTAATTTAACAACTATATGCTCTAACACAAAAGCAGTCACACACCGTATTTTTACGGTATGATGCTGGCAACCACAGCTGCCAGTAGTTTACAGTTTTTTACAGGATTGGTTTTTACAGTGAACTTTAATTTAACGGCTATATGCTCTAACACAAAAACGGTAACACACCGTTTAGTTGCGGTATGATGCTGGCAACCACAGCTGCCAGTAGTTTACCGTTTTTTTTACGGTACTATTTTTTACAGTGGGGAATTTGTCAACACACACACACAGCAATGGACAGTCATGTGGGATGTTCAAGGAGCTGTGAGTGCTGTTTACACTCTCTCAGACGGGACCCCGAGCACCTGGTAATTAAAATTGCTAATCATGCACAATTACCCATCCAAGCTCCCCACTCTGAAAGTGGCCTCTCACACTCTCTGGAAGTGTGGGGTAAAGGGGGAAGAATGTTAGTCATCTTTTGATTAGCGTTCTGTGGCAGGAGCACCTCTCACCGCAGTTTTGTCTTGCGGAGCAGCCACCGCGAAGTCAGCGACAAAAGAGAGAGACGAACATCTGCTAGAGGTTGACCGATGTTGCCAAGACCACCAGGCCAGGTGCGGGTTTTACCGAGAGAGCTGGTTCCAGGGAAAAGCAGCACGCGGCGGCACCCTCGCAGGGCAAACATCTCTACCCCGTCACCTGTTTCTTTGTGCAGCACCAGCTGAGCGTGCAGGATCCACAGCTGCCTCCAGCACAAATCCCCCTCTTGTGTTTGTTTTCCTCGCAAAAACGAGTCACCTGTTTTAAGTTGGTCACCTCAGGGCCTGTTTGTAATGGAAACCTGTATTTGATCAGAAAACATAAGTCAACAATCGCTTCTGCTCGTCATATTTTAGTTGATAAAATCAGTCAATACATTTTAATTGAGGAAAAACAGCTAATAAATGAACTAATCATTTGAGAAGAGACGTATAATGACTGTGCTTGTGTTTTATCATTGTACATCCCAGCATCCATTTTACAGATCTGAAATGTTATGTTTTTGTGAATTTGTGAATACAGATGTGAAAAGAAAACACATTGAAAAATACACGCACACTTTATTTTTTACACAGTTTTTATAAATTAGTACATACCCAAAAGGAGGATTTGAGAGATTCTGTCAGGTTTAGCTCACTTCTGAGAGCAAATTTGTCCACAGAATATGGTGGCACACCCACACACGTTTTATGGGGAATTTCCATAGACATGATGATGTTTATACTATACAAATTGTATATTCTCCCCTCACTAACCCTAACATAGCCTACTCCTAAACCTACCCATCACACAAAACTTTCCACATTTTACATTTTCAATAAAAACATGATTCTGTTTGATTTATAAGCTGTTTTTCCTCATGATTACACCCACAAGGTCAAAAATTAACTATTTGTGGGGACATTTGGTCCCCATTATGAAAGGGTACTAACTAATAGGACCACACAGAGACAAAAGATAGCTTACGTATTAGGCCTAACTGTGATGTAGAAAACAAATGTATTGTTTTAAGACCTCCCCAACCTTTCCTTTGAACTTCTTTTAGAGAGGTTCAGGTTATAATTAGTTTGTCAGACCCCTCCTGTGTCCTGGTTAGGTGCGGTCCAGGAGTAATTAGCCAGGCTAGCTGGGGAGGGCTGCGGAAAACAATCGCCCCCGCTGTTTGCTCAAGTTCGAGCCCGTTGAACTGGCTTAATTGGCCGTGTAATAATGTCGACCTGAGGAGGGCTTGCGTGAAAGGGCTGTCCCGGTTCCCACAAACCCCGGGGCCAGCGCCAATCTAGCCCCTCGCTGAAAGACTGACGGGAAGAAAAAGGACACCGTACAATGACTCGCTCGGGTGGGTGAAGGATTTCTCCGTGTAATTAGGCTCGCCCTGTTTCCACAGACACACACGGCCCAGCAGGCCTGCTGCGCGCGGACCATACGGAGCACCGTGGGTAGTCACATTCAGACCGGTCGCTGATTAGGGTATTGTTCCCGTGTTTATCATCGGGGATGTTAATTACTTCGACGAATAATCGTTATTAATGAATTTCAATTGGTTCACTCATATTAGGCGTAAATGCTAAAGTCGAAGCATTTTGTAAGGCCTTTCTATCAGTAATTAGAGGACTGGTTTATGCTCACAACAAACTGTTAATTTTGATTAACCAAACTGACACGGTATGACCATTTTTGTTTACATTTTACAATAAGGTTAATTAGCATTAGTTAATAGTTACTAACATGAACTAACGATGAGCAATACAAAGATTACTAGGCCTACTGTAGGAAATGTTACATAGGCCTAATCTTTGTTAATAAAATACAGCTGTTTATTGTTTGTTCATGTTAGTTCACAGTGCATTAACTAACCTTTGATTTTAATAACGTGATGTTGAAATTCACATGAACTAAGATTAATAAGTGCTAAAGAAGTAGGCTATACTGTTCATTTTAAGTTAGTTACAAACTTAATGTAAAGGGTTACCCAATTATATTATTAGTTGTATATATCCTCTATGCAAGAGATGTGTCCATCATCTTCTATCATGGATAGGTCATCAATTCAAAAACAACCTCTATTCAGATGTGATGACAGTTAGATAAAATATTAGTTTCAACAACAGCCTGTCCCTGTGTGCTTGCATTATAAAAGTGGCAAGCAACACTATGAACAATCAGCATTTATCTTCATTGCAAAAATAATCATTGTAGAATCACAGGTCTCTAATTTTTTGGTTCATTCCTAACACATTAGATGTTTTACTCTGGTTGTCAGTAGAAGAGCGTCCTCCACTGGCAATGCTTGAAAACAAATGCTTTGACTGAAAGAGAACCCGCCTGTTAGTTCAAGATCAATAATAGGTAATTATGTGTTATAATGCACACTGTAGCTCATATGTCTCTCACAGTTGCATATTTAGAGACTGTCAACACAGATTGTTATTGATAAAACCAACTGCTTTAAATAATGCATCTGTCAAAATAATAAATCTATTTTACTAGGACTTTGAAAGAAATTCGATCATATAGTTTGCAGATGTCATACAGCGTCTGTGCCAATTAAAAGAGCCAGAACCCCCTGTTTTAGCACAGAGACTTGTTCTTTTATTTGTAATATCCTCCGATGGATGTATTTCATTTTCTGTATTGGTCTTTAAAAACACTTACATGTTTTGGCCCTTCAATATGATCAATATAATAAAGAATATTCTTCTTTTGATATTCAATCTTCTAAAGTCTGCTTAGGCAAATAGTGGCTTTCAAATCAAGATGCCTTTCAACTTGATCCATCCTTGCTTTTGAAAGTGATGTCTGTAATCCTCTGATATAATTTAGTCAGAGGAGAACCTCACTGGTCTCTTTAGACCCGGGCTCTATAGAGGCTAAGACGTACCAAATGATGCTGTATTTAACATACATAAATATTGCATGAGATTTTTTTAATGTCTAGATGACTAAGGTGCAGTTCTAACTGCTGTAGGCGATTTGATTGTCTTTAGAATGACATTGGCTGGATTTAATCATGAATGATCGAGATTAAAGATATACTGGAAAAATATCACAACATTTTTTTTTAATCACCATGATTGTACACTCAAATATTTAGGGAACAAACAATTGTCATTTTATTGAGCATTAAATATCAAGTGATATTTCTGATTGGCTAGATTTTGTTTTTGGCAAAAAAAAAAAAAAAAATCTGTGCAATAAAAAAAAAGTCAATTACTGCACCTTCAACGTTATCAGCCGTTTCTGTAGATTACAGAGTTGTGGTTCATGCCATGATTTGTCTCGTCTGCTTTAAGACTATGGGCCCTATTTTAACGATCTGAAACGCAAGCGTAAGTAACTTTGTGGGCGGGTCTTGAGCGCTGTTGCTATTTTACCGGCGTGCCGCGTGATAATAGACTCTTGCTCCCGACACAAGTAAGGGGTTGGTCTGAAGTAGCTTCATTATTCATAGGTGTGGTTTGGGCGTACGTGAAATAAACCAATAACGCTACGTTCATACCGGAAATTCGCGTCTACCGCGTCTAGTTTGACGCTGGCCAAAAACATGCGAATTTTAACGAGTATTTCACGCGTATTTACGTGTGAAATACGCGTTAAAATTCACGTGTTTTTGGCCCTAAGGCTTTCTATAGCGCTCTCCTGCCTCATTCGCGCCGCATGAATTTTTTAAAAAAAATTCTTTGCATTGACTTAACATTAAAATAATTTGTGCTTGACGCGCTATTCGTGTCCGGTGTGAACGCACCATTAGAGTACGACGAACGAGGTGCGCTTGTTCCATGGCACAATTCTATTATAACGGCGCATTTACCAGGCGCGATTCACAATCGGTTCACAGAGGAGATCGATGTTCTCATCAAGGCCGTAAAAGAAAGAGAAGTGACATTGGGGATGGGACAAACCCTCCCGAATTAGCTTTGGTTAAATATGCATATAATATGGTTCAATATGTAAGCTTTATGCCTATTTTTCCCATCGTCATGGACACAACAGTGATTTCCCTCGCGTTTAAATATTTTTCCTTATAATAATGTATAATTTGCAAAAAGTAAAATGCATCTGTGTAGATGAGAGAATCATCTACAGTGTATGCGCGTTGTTCACAATCTGTAGCCTATTAAGGCCAAGCATGCGCGCTTAAAATAGCATCTGAATATACTGTAGCTATGCGCAACGTGTCACTGACTTACACTAGGTGTTTTTCTGGTCAGTGGCGCAATTGTTTTCTGGAACTGCAAAATAGCACTAGGGAATATTTGCACTGAAACACGTCTATTTTTTATTTATTTAATTTTTTTTTTTGCACCGACCCGCCCAGGGAGCGCAAGTTGATTTCCTAGTTTACCGATGTGCGTCTGTGGAGGGAAAAGTCTGCTTTGCGCATGTGCAAAATAGGAACGCTACATGCGTCATTGTACGAAGTCATTTGCGCTGGGTGCAAGATAGGGCCCTATATCTCAGTTGTTCAGCATCTCCATTGGCGCACAGAGAGAAGTCTAGGTACACTATCAAATGAAATTCTAGTGCAATTTGTTCTTTTATAATAAGAGGTTAAGAGGCGACAGTTTGACGGCTCACTCGCCCTTTCTCTTATTTTTTCTCGCTTTCGCTTTGCTCTCTGCCGCATTCATTGCTCAAGGTCAGTGCCGGAGGCAGGCGTGAGGTTACGGCGGTGACGGCAAGGTCAGAATCTCCACTGTCGTTTGACACGCGTTCTGTCATGGAGATGAAGAGGTGAAGATGGGGTGAGAGGAATGTGCCTGTTGCATGTAACCTGACGTGTCTAATGGGTATGAAGAATACACAGGTATACTTGGTATCCTTTGCATTTAAAGCATTCTTAGTGTGTAAATTATAATGGCCTTATTCCGTTCCACATATGCCATATATATACATATGTATATATATATATATATGAGCGTGATTTTGTCCACAGAATGGGGATTGTAAATCAGCTGAGAAAGAGCTTTGTTTAAATCCATTCACAGATAAAATGGATAAAAAAAAGTTTGTAAACATACCATCATTCCCTTCCTGGAGCCACAGTGATCCCCCACACCAATCTGTCTCCCATCACTTCTTAGACATCCAACTCAAATCAAGTAAGAGGTCTTCAGCAGCACCTCAGTGTGTTCTGGACCATTGAAAGACATTTTAAATCAATAACGAACCAAACCACTGCCAGAGTGAGCGCGAAACGTTAAATGACTCATAAATAATATTAGCAAATAACAGCAATTTCACATCTAATAGAGCGATTTCACAAGTCAGTGAGCATGGCCACACACACACACACACTTACACATATCTAAGAACACATGAGCGTACACTCCATTAAACATTTTAAATGAAGAATTACAACTTCAAGACACCTCCAGCAGTGCATGTGGACCACAGTCCTTATTTATCCTGATTCATTGTGATTGAATGAAATGGTCAATTATAATATTTTAACACTGACCTGTTGAGTGTTGACTGGAAACATCAGCATAATATACAACAGTTAAAGGGTTAGTTGACCCAAAAATTATTCATTCATCATTAGTCATTATTACTACCCCTCAAATTACTCTTCAGAACACGAATGAAGAGATTTGAATGAAATCTGGGATATTTCTGTCCCTCCACTGACAGCTACACAACTAGGCCTCCCGCTTTAACGCTTCAAAAAAAAATCATAAAGAGATCGTAAAACTAATCCACATGAATCGAGCAGTAGACCAACATTTTCTGTAGAGACACGATTGCTCTATCTAACAATTCTAGGATTTGTTAGAATGTTACCATGCCAACAGTAATACTGTCATTGTTTAAAATGCATATAAAAGTTTGTCGCGATTTTCTCACTTAATGTGAGGTCATCGTTTTGGAATATTAAGTTATGTCGAATGATGAATGAAGGGTCTCTCTATAATTTTATAGACCTCACATATTTATAAGAGCTGATAGAATTCTCTTGGATTTATTAATTAAATGATCAATCACTGCATGAAAAGTGGGATTTTCGTCAGTAAGCGGCACTGTAGATTGTCGTGGAAGTTCAGGTTTACGACTGCACACGGCAATTTACAGGCAACACCCAAAACTGCCGTGAATTGCCGGAAATTGACGTAGGCCTTGCTTGCCAGTTGTCCCCCCATTGCCCCCCTTTTCCTAAATCTAGAGGAGGCTTTGACATGTAAATGAAAATGCTGTGAGCTATACACATGCAAATAAGGGTAGGGGAGTTTCACCCCAGGTAACATTTTTCTGAAAGATATACCTCATTCTAGGACAATCTCTGGTAGAAATAGATCAGGCTCACAGTGTTTTTTTTTTTTTTTTTTTTTTTTTTTTTTTTTTACATTACACATAATGCACAACAATTACAACAATAGCATGATATCCAAAAAGATAACAATCAACAAATAATAATTTCACTATAAATGAATAAGAAAAAATAAAAATAGGACAGAATTGAAAAAATAAAATAAAAAGGGGAAAAGGACTATCTATTATGTATAATATAATGATTTAAGAGAAAGCTAGAAACCAGTAATTTGTACTACTTAAAGAAAGAAAATAGCATACACATTAATTCACTTTTCAATTAGCTTCAATATTCTTTAGTAAATACAATTGTATCACTACATTTTTTATCGATAGAGAGACTCAATATACAACTGAAAATCAGACCAAAAAAAAAAAAAACTTCAAACAAGGTTTAGAATTATTCATTTTACTCTTATGAATATGAAATTTACCTAATAAAATTATAGGATTCATCATAATATTTACAGAAGCAGTTTTCAAATTATATGATAACATCTTTGGATGTTAATTCACAGTTATAACCAGATGGGTTTTTTTTGGGTTTTTTTTTTTTTACTGGTTTATTTATTTTAAGTAGCCTAATCAAGTTATTTATTTATGCACACCCTGTATTTGTATTTTTCATTTCATGGTAGCCTATATTAGGTCTATCCACCTTATTCCTAATTTAAAAAGAACTAACAGCAACAGAAAAGTCATGGACAGCCGAGGTCGGACAACTCTATCAAGAGCTTTGATTTCAACCACAGTCGAAATCCAGTGAACGTCACTCTGATTGGCTGAGGCAACATATCATCATAACCCAACCTGTAAAGCCAGCCACTCTGATAGGCCGAGGCAACATGCGAGCCATGTGGCGCGAGCGGCGCGATTCAGCGTGTTTTTCACATGGTTGGTTTTTCAAGCAGAAAATAACGGCACAGATATTCAGCCTACATCGCCGTCATGATCACTGGTGAACCCATCTCCTCTAAATTGAAGGTAAGTTCGTCCAATCTAGTGAATTCTATGTCCATGTCTACTTATGCTTGTGTTTGGTAGTTTAGCGTTATTGTCTTAAACTTCACAAACCTGCTGTGATTACTGCCGCGAATGTTCAAGGGCGTTAACCTTAACGGCACAGTTTTTTTGTTTTGCGTTAGCTTGCTGCTCTTAATTCTTGACACTAAATTGTATTTTGCACGTTGTTATCTGGCTGCTAGGTAGCTACCATTCTTTGCTAGTAAAACTAACTCGTATTGGGTGTTCAACGGGCTTTTCCCAATGCGTGCTACTCTGAATATCGTCAGAAATTATATGTGCCAGGATCATACAAACTCAAAGTTCGTAATGTGCTTGTATGCTCTAGTGTAGGCTATCCTTGTTTGTAAAACTGCAACGCTGTTGTGTGATGGAGTGAAATCTTTAACTCCATCTGTTTGTGATGTTTGTTAACGCATTTGTTTTGTCTCTCAGGTGCTGTAAGGAGTGAGGTACCCTTCCCTGATAGGAGAAAAAACACCTAAACAAGGTAACGTTACGTGTTGTGATCTCATCCTCTTTTCTTTTGATCAGGCCCCAGTCAAATAAACAGTAAAACTAAACTAATTTGGTATTAACGTCTGTGTTTACGGATGACTTTGAGAGTAAGACAGTGGTGAAAACGCCAAAGAGAACTGGAACATGGCATGTTATATTCATAAATGTTTGGCCAAGTTTAAATGTTACTAGGTCCAGTGTTCGATTCACCATCAGGTCCTGCACAGAGATTGTTCGAGGCACACCTTCAGGTCCAGACATGATGGGTCACGGCACGTGCGAGGCACACAGTCTTCAAATCACTGCTATTACTTTGAATCTGAATCAGAAATAGCTTTATTATCTAGTGTGCTTGCACACATAAGGAATTTGTTTGTGTGCTGAGGCTTCCAGTGCACATATACTAACACAACAGGAAACGTATTATAATTACAAAATTATTTTAATTTCAGGTATAACCATATGGAACTAATAAATCCATGAAGACTGATCCCGTAGTGATGCCCCCAGTCCCCCGCCCAGGTCCAGACATGATAAAAGAGTACAGCGCAGTGATCTCAGCACATGACAGGCACGGTGAGTTGTCGGCTGCGTTCACATTAAGCTCATTTAGGATTATTTTGCTATTCAGGTGGTGGTCATATGACCCTGGATGCCTGTTACACAGTGTACACATTGCTTTGAACAAGAAATCAAGTAATTTAGAATTTTTTTACAATTAAGGCCGCAATTTTCATCAAAGTACTTTGCAGTTCACCAAGTTTTATAGATATATCTCTAATTGTTACAATATTGCAGATTTATTATTTATCATCTTATAAATATGTTCAGTTTCATCATTTGATAATAACTTGTATAACACATTTTTTGTGGTGTAGATGCAGTGACTGAGACTGGGAGATGCAGTGACTGAGACTGGTAAGTATTGATCTATTGGCAGTGGAGAAGACACTTTTAATAGACACCTTCTCTCTTGTGAGCTAGCAAACTTTGCTATTCTAATTAGAGCATTGCAAACCTCACCAAATGTGTTTGTTTATTTCAGTGTTCCTGAAACTACTGGTCGACATCCGCCATCGCCTGAAGGAAACCAGGTAGTGGATGCAAAGGAAACATATTTTTGCTTACAAATGTGGGGACTTGGGGCAGATTGTCTTTGCATACATCTAAATCATTGTCTTTTTCAACTTTGCAGAAGGGATCATGAAATTTGGTTCCATAGCCACTGAGGTGTATGTACATCAAGGTGAACGTGTGTGAGCACCTCAAGCACGCGTCGCAAAGACTTGGAGGTGGAGGATTCACTACGCCCCGATGAGCCTACAGGACTTGAATTAAGAGTTTTAAAGGGATAGTTCACTTTAAAATTAATTTTTGATATGTTTTAGCTTACCTCAAGGGCATCCAAGATGTAGGTGTCTTTGTTTCCACAGTAGTTTCAATTTTTATATTTTTACGTCAAACCATTCTTGTCTGTCAGTCATATAATGGAAATCTATGGGGATCTCTTAAAAGAGCATGCACAGAGAAATCCAGATTAAACATGATTTAATGACTCGTAACTGTAAGTACACATTGATGGCTTAAGATACGAAACGAGCGGTTTGTGTGAGAAAATGAACAGTGTGTGTATGTATATATATATATAAACTGTTTGTTTTCTCTCACAAATCGCTCGTTTCGTGTCTTAGGCCATCAATGTGTACTTAATTTATGAGTCATTAAATCATGTTTAATTTGGACTTCTCTGTGCATGCTCTTTGAGGTGGTGACCATAGACCTCCATTATATGACTGACAGACAAGAACGGTTTGACCTAAAAATATCAAAATTGAAAATATTGTGGAAACAAAGACACCTACATCTTGGATGCCCTTGAGGTAAGCTAAAACACATCAAAAATTAATTTCAAACTGAACTATCCCTATAAATTACATCCTTATTATTTGTTCACAATTCTGCCTCCACTGTACATTGTGTTTGATATATCTGGTGCCCAATTCTGATGCCATTCAGGGCAATTTATTTTTGAATAAAGATGCAATATATTATTGATTTATTTGTATAACTGTAGTGCTGTATGTATGTTATCCCATGTTTCCAGAGGGTGGAGGACATGTTTTCTGTGCTTTGAAGATGTTCTCCTATGCTTTGTACATTGTGTGTTTGTTCTAATAAAGCTATTTCTTTGAATAAACAGTATCTGGCATATGTTCCTTTCCTCAATAAATTCATGTCCTTGATGGTAATAATAGTTTAGTCCATAGGATAACAATGACATGAATATACAACATAATAGCATATCATATGAATATATATAAATAAATAATTATTATTATAATTTTATGTAAGCTGACCAATAATAACAGATCTGCCAACCAATCACGAGTGATTATCTTGTTTAAATGTAGTGAATTTCAACCAATACTGAGTGAGGAAATTCAAGCCATTCTCTGGCAAGGCGCGCGCAGTGCTGCTATTCATATGCTAATTAGGGCCATTCACACCTCCGCGAGCGCTCCATGCATACGTCATGGTTCGTTTCCGTCAATATGTGGCACAGTGGAACGCGACGTTCACAGTCTGTAAATTGTCGTTAACTGCCGAAAATTAGGGAGATTTCCGACAGTTTACGGGGACGAAAATCCCACTTTTCATGCAGTGAATTTTTCATGTAAACGATCAAATGGTTGGAGTTGGACGGCTGAACGCATTAATCAGGCAAAATAAATTTGCCTTGCCTTGTAAAATCGGATTATTTTAGTTTTCTATATTATTTTTAGGTCGTGTATTTAAGAGTAATGATTAGTAAGGTCCTGTTGTATTTAGAGTAGCGGAGGTGAATTTTTGAAGCAGCCTCAATACGTTACAATTTGCTGCCACCTTGAGGTCGTAGTATAGAAGTACACCTGGTGTGAACTACAAACTGATTGCTCAGAATGTACAGGCAATGTGGTCCTAAGTGAGCCAGTGTTGATTACTTTCAAAGTAAAGTGTATAACGTACACTGGCATTTTTGAGGGTAAGTAAGTATGAGTAAAATACCTATTTAGTGTAACATCACTGTGTTAAGCTGTCTCAATGAATACTTCTATTGTGTTTTTTAAATTGTTTGATTTTTTTTTTTCAGGATTTTCTACCTACTACCGCATGTGCAGCAACTGTGGTCTAAAATACCGCTATCAAGAGTGGACTGATGGTCTTCGCAATTTTGATGACCATTTGCTGATGTCATCACACGTGTCTTGTCCTGCGCCATTCACTCCAGGTTTGCTGTTATTAAAGGTTTTAATCATATGGTGTTCTTTTAAATGATCTATATGCTAATAACCAATCTTGTCAAAACAGACTCATCATGCCATTAGCAGAGCTGTTGAGGTTTTGGAGACGACAACACAACAGAAATTTCCACGTAAAGAAAAAATCCTTCATGCATTTCGAAGCACTAACAGACCATGACTACGCATACTCCTGTGATGGATCTTCACAAAAAGGCGGCATTTAATATGCCTGGTAGGTCATATCAACATATAAAAAATATTCTATAAACGTTTCATTGAGAATTTTTATTACAGTGAGTGAGATTCCTCCTCCACCACCTGAATATGACGGTCAGATCAATTTGAAAGACTTTTGGACATCTGCGACTGCCGAAGCAGTTTGCCGGGGCCTATTGGGCCGTAAGGAGTTATTTTGTTTTTGTTAGACATACAAGTCTAGCTACAGTTGTTTTAAAGGAGTAGTTTACTTTAAAAAAAAAAAATTTGCTAATAATTTACTCACCCCCCCCCCCCCCCCCCCCCCATGTCATCCGTGATGTCCACGTCTTTCTTTCTTCAGTCGAAAAGAAATTAAGGTTTTTGATGAAAACATTCCAGGATTTTTCTCCATATAATGGACTTCAATGGGAACCAAATGGTTCATGGTCCAAAAGAAAGTTTCAGTGCAGCTTCAAAGGGCTTTAAACGACCCCAGACGATGAATAAGGGTCTTATCAAGCGAAACGATCGCTCATTTAAAAAAAACAACAACAAAGTTTAAGTTTTATAAGCTCAAATGCTCGCCTTGCTCTGTTCTGTGATGCGCGTTTGTGACTCTCCTGTTCGAACTCGTTCATCAAAATGAACGAATCTTTTTTCGTGTCATTTGGTTCATTCAACGAACGGATTGACTCAGAAAAAGATAGCTTATAAAACTTAAACTTTGTTTTTTTTTTTTTTAAATGAGAGATCGTTTTGCTTGATAAGACCCTTATTCATCGTCTGGGGTCGTTTAAAGCCCTTTGAAGCTGCACTGAAACTGTCTTTTGGACCTTGAACTGTTTGGTTCCCATTGAAGTCCATTATATGGAGAAAAATCATGTGGAAATAGGCTCATTTTACAATTACAATTGAAATTCAGCAGTATGCACAATGTTGGTTTAGGCCTAGTCAACCACTGAAAGAACTGTAACAGTAAAGAACAAAGTCCATGCCAAACTTGCTACTGCAACCCAAATAGCGGGTTTTTCAAAATCGGACCTATATAATAGAGGTGGATCCTAAGTTTAAAACTGTTTTCAACTTTTAAAAAGTTTTAACTCCGTATCTGTTCTCTTTTGAAGCATGATCGCAACAAAATGGATAGCTGGAAACTCATTAAGAACAAGGTTCATTGCACTCAGCATTCAACACTGTTTTCTGACAACTGTCATCAATACATATATATAGTATATAATACATATATAGTATCTTTTGGATTTTTGCCAGGATATTCCACCATCTTGGACTGTGGAGTGTTCATGCTAATGGTGTGTGACAAATGAAGCTTCAAATTAACCTTACCTGACTTTTTGGGATTGCATTAGTGGCTTTTCAAAGGCAATGGGTATAGGAAGAATTTGTAAGTGCTTGGAAATTAACAAATTTAAAATAAATAAATTATGGGTTACAGTATGCACTATACATTACTTTTGAGTGGCCATTTGATTTTACCCAATTTATTAGAGACATGTTTTGATGACTCTTTCATTTTGTCTCAGTTTTTGATGTTTTTTTTTTGTTTCTTGTTTCCTTAGACTGACATGCCTTTAATCCGAGAGTGTTGGCTGAACCTTGCATTAAAGTGCAGGAGCCATGGAAGGTGAGAATTAGATTTGCAAAACAAAAAACAGTCTTTCCAAAGTTTTCACTTTCTTTTTATTTTTTTAACCATTTACCATGTTATAGGGAAGCCTCAAGAAGTATCAAGTGGATTACATGCATGGTTGTCCCAAGGACCATTGGATTCTTATGGTGTAATGTCTGACAAGTCACTAGGAATTTGTACATTGTAGAAATTTTGCCTCACAGAATACCAGTGATTGTATTGTGGATTTTATACAAAATAATGAGCTAACTTGTGTGAGCCTTCTAATGTTCTAGTTACGTGCTGATGTTTATTTCATTGAGTTAAAGAGAGTTAATGTCGTGGTCAGGAGACCATGTGCGAACGCTATTGTGTAGTAGCCTTGCCTGGCCAGAGGATGTCGCCATCATTTCTTCTGTAAACCCCTTTTAAAACAGTTATATGCAAACTGGATAGTGAGATGGGTAAAACTCTTTATAAAGAATCATTTTTATGTAATTGTAGATCGTTTAAAGGGGCATAACAATGTTTATTGAGATGTATGTTTGATGATCCTGGATTTATTATTCATGTTTATTTTGTTTTATCAGACTGTAATGACAATACTGGATATTGGAATGAGTACCACTGGAATTGAATACAGTTAAAGAAGGAAATTACATCTCCTCGTCTTTATTCCTGTGTCCGGACCGATACACCATCCTGTTAACTGGCTGAACCCTTTATGTACTAGCCCTATTTGATTACCCCACTAACAGTAAATGATGTCAGATTCCATTGTGAAGTCATTTATAAGTATAAAATTAGTGCTGCTATAATTTAGTCACTTACAGTTGCATAATCAGTTGTGGAAAAAGCAAACATATTTTCTGCTTGAATTAAAACTTGATTTAATATCACTGAAAATTGGTATTTCAAAAAAAGTATTTGAAATCAAAGTGCATGTGGATTACTGAGAGCCTATCAAAGAATACACTTCTTTTTAAGAGATATTCTTGCATGTAACAATGAACCACATGCTTTTCAGGGAAGATTAAATGTAAGGATTTTTAATCAATCTTTTTATTTTTGATTATAATTATATGCTTTTTCCAAATATTAAAAAAAAAAATCGAATAAAATACTTGGCTATTGCTGCCCACCATTATACGTAATAAAAGGTACAAATTCACACAATGTACAAACTACAGTGTAACTTTTTAAACTTTATTAAATAAGATTTGTTTTCAGCAAGTTTGTTTTTCCCGTCAAAAGTCAAGTCATCTTCATTTATATTGCGCTTTTAACATTGTGGATTTGTTACAACGCAGCTTTACAGAGATAAACATAGAATTTACGGTAACTGAGATTGTTTAGTTAAATTGTGGTTCTTTAATAAAGTTATTTTCAGCTAAAGTTAGTTTTGATTGATTCGCTTCCGTCGCAACGATCATATATTTGGGGCCGCTAAAATGACGCCATTCTCTCTAAACAGACAGCTAGGAATCTGTCGACCAATCAGAATGCAGTGCGAGGAAATCCAACTCCGCCCCCTGAATCTGGATCCGACTCCGCCCCTTGGATCTCATGTTCTGCATTGAGGTGCTTGCTACTGGGGTCCTCTTAAAGGGTACATATCATGCTTTTAAATCATTCATTTTTACATATAAATCATACCGTTGTGGTCTATATAAAACATAAAGGCTTAGGTCTGAATTCCTCATTATTATAGCTCCACAAGCCCCTTTTCTACCCCTTTTCTGATGTGCGTCGGAGCGAGAAATAACAATGGCGGATTCCTCGAAGTGCTGGACCGGTAGTCAATGTCCTTATTTGGCAGTTCCGCTGCAAATACGGTGACGTGATAGTTCAAAAAACGTCATAGAGAACAGAAAAATCTGAACAGGTTGAAAAATATGACCAAAACAGAATATAAAGATATAAACGAAGCACCTGAAGAGAATAATTTAATCTTTTCTGTACTTATAAACACTCCAAATATACAACAAAATGCATTTAAGGGCTAAAAAAGTGGATTTTGCATGATACGTCCCCTTTAAAAGTGCTGTCGGAGCTACCGTTGGAGCCCTCTGCTGGAAGGGAATAGTAAGATGGCCGCTCGAACACTTCCGGTGGCTTCACTGCCCAGTGGCAGTTTAGAACGTCATGAGATGTCCAGTCATTGTTCCAAACCTATATGACTTACTTTCTTCTGCTGAACACAAAAGAAGACATTTTAAAGAATGTCGGTGACCAGACAGTTAACTTGAAGTCACCAATTGACTTTCATAGTATTTTTTCCACTTCAATAGAAGTCAGTAGGTGCAGTCAACTGTTTATTACCAACATTCTTCAAAATATCTTCTCTTGTGTTCAGCAGATGAAAGAAACTCATACAGCTTTGGAACAGAGTGAGTACATTTTTTCGGATGAACTATCCCTTTAAAGCCGATCGTCAGTAACTGGATGGGGGAGTAGCGGGGATGAGGGGCTGTGCCTGTGCGAGCTGTGGGCGGGAGGGTGTAGCTGCCGAGTGCGCATGCGCTCATGACGCGCCAGACTGGTCGATCGGGAGGGCTCTACTACACCGAGAAGGAGAGTGAGTGAGTACGTCAGTACATCAGAGAACAGCCCGAAGGGACGCTCGAGAAAGAAGAAGTGGCCAGTCCCTTTAAAATATCAAGACAAAACATTGGAAAACGAGAGCTTGTTGTTTTTCCCATCAGTTAGGGCATATACAGGTGACACCGGAGCATGTCACTATGACAACGTTCGGACTTTACATAGTAGCCTTCATCATCTCAGTAGGCGCTCAGTAGACATATAATAATCGCGCGAGTCGTTAGAGACTGTCAGTTATCAATCCTAGAAGAAGATCGCAGAAGACATGGAACAGAGACTTGGTACAATGATCAGCTAGCGTTTTATGTGCCCAATCTACAAGATTAGAGGAGAAACCGAAGACAGCAGCACACCTGGAGCGGCTCGAGCAGAATGGATTTCACCACCATCCGGAACCTCATCACTAGATACGTGAGTAGACATGCGATCACTCTCGACAACTTGTTGGTTTGGTTTGCTCCATTTCAAGGGCTGCAGTGCTTGTGATACACATTTTTTTGGACTGTAAGCTACTCTAAATCCATAAATGAGACGTTGTATCTTTATTTGTCCGTGTGTGCATCACTTTTGTCTGTGAATTAATATGTAAGCTAGCAATAGACGCAACCGGTATGTATTTACAGTTACTAATCTCAGGCGTTTGTAATGAAGTTTTCACTGCGGTTCTATCCCGATTGACTGTGACCTGAATTCCCAAGCGACATGTTATATTTCAATGCCTCGTGAAGACACCCGCCGAGCTCATGACTGAGAAATCACAGCTTGTGTTATGAAATATCAAAAATGCAAATTGACTTCTCAAACAGTCGTGGACGGACAGGTTTTGGTCATTGAAAAAGAGCGCGAGTCGTTTAGTGTATTTATTAATAGAAGACGTTGTAGTGTAACGAGTTGTTCTTTTTAACCATACCCCATGAAATCACAAATCTTATGATTTAAACTAACAGACAATCTAATAAAAGAAAGAAAAAAAATCTAGTTTAAACACATCAAATGTCTAATTTTCCTCAATTAAAATGGTCATTTTGACCAAACTAGTGTTTTAGTCAATATTGCTAGTTACTGTAAGAACAATAATCAAAAATGTATCAATAACTAAAGCAACTTTTGCTCCAAACTACATAGATACCGCTTAATTTGGACTGAATTTGCTAATTTTCTGGTTTTGATAAATATAGCGTTTAGCTTGACCTGACCTCTTTTATGATTTGTTTATAAATTGAAAAAAAAAAATCATTAAAAATATATAAAACCATTTTGTACCCCATATATGAAATGCTATAAAGGCTGAATTTCATGTTATTTTGTTCATCAGTAAAAATTAGGAAAAAAAATTAACTTTTTTTATTATATAATCGAATCGTTTTCTTAGACGGGTCACGGGTTCAAACGATAGTTTACTGCATGCCATTCTTACACAGATTAGGCCTGCTTTTAATCCACTTAGCACTCGGTATAGCCTAGGCAAGAGTACACGCTAACCAACTGTCCAAGCTGCTGGGAGTTAGAGAAAGAGATTTGCTCATATGTGCAGGTTATGTATGTGTCAGCATGTAAGGTTATAAGGACATTTTACTATAGACAACATTCACTTTGAGTATGTGGCAACTTGTTGGTTTCCTAATTTAAAGACTCCTAGGCAAGATACTATTTTCAAATTAGTAGCTAGTGGGTGTATAAACCAGATTTTCTGGGTTCAAATCTATTGTACAATATGAATACAATAACTCGGATATTATATAATAATATGTGCTGCTGAGAGCGTAATGTTTGGACAATAGGGTATTAATTATGTCAGATGCAATGGAACAACACCTAAGTTTATATTCTGACCTGTTCATACCAAGGACGAACTATAAAGATAACGATTAATAGTTCTAAAAATCGTTCTCAATGTTAAAGAATAGCAGAATTCACACCACACGGCTATAACCAAAACGGCACAGAGAAACGATATCGTTGGAATCACGATTTTATCCAGCTAATGTATGATAAATAAAATGTATGATAAAAAAAATGACAGCCAATCAGAATCCATCCTGCATTTAAACTGACTTTAATCACAAGCTTAGAATAACAGAACAATATCGACCTAAAAAAATATTGTTGGTTTAACTTAAAAAATGAAGTAACCTGGTTGCCTTCAAATTTTAAGTTCATTGAAATGGAAAAAAATGAGTTAATACAATGAAGGAGATGGATTTAATCATCAGAAACTCAAAATATTATGTTATCTGAACCACATCGATTATTTAAGTTGATTTAACACAAGAAAAAAATGTTGTGATTGATTACAAAACATGAAGTTTTTTTTTTTTTTACAGTGTAGCTATAGTTATCTTTAAGATTATCGTTCTTGGTGTCTTTAAGAATATTAATTGGTGGCTGAAATGGTTAAAAAGGCCCAAAAATTGTATTTCCCCATCACTGAAGGCCATACGAATCTGTTATTCTGTACTCTGTAATCAAGCTGACATGCGGACTGATGAGCAAAATCTCTTGCGCTGTCTAGACAGTCTGAAAAAATAGTGATGAAAAGATGAAGAGTGTGCGATAAACATGACGTGAGAAATAATGTTCATGTCACAGACACCTCTCACCTGTCTGTTTATGTTTGTGTTTTGTTTGCTCGGGTTTTTACGGTAAACCACAAAACACACATAGGGGCCACAGCGAGAGAGTTTTGGGACGGAATGATTTCTTCAGTGTTATTTTAGTGTCATTGGGATATTAGTTTTTATATTTGGACTTTTTATTTGTATATTTTCTGTTGAATGTTCAGTAGTGTTGTGTCCTGGGTCATCTCAATGGCAAAAAGTGTCTTATTCAACTTGAATTCACGCCATAAATATCTACATTCTTATCATTATAGATTGTTATTAAGTTTTATTTCAGTTTAGACAGTGAAACTAAATGAAATTGAGAAATAAAATAAGTTTAATTTTAAGTCTATTTTATTTTATTTCACTTTTAGTGCACTGTGTCATTAAATATTAGATTTGTTTTGGGGTTTTCATGCCTGGCAAAGCTCATTTGTTGACCATGGTTATTGAAATTTTTGTATTGTTAAGGTTATGTCAAACATTCAAATTATATGTTTATGAGTTTGTTTGAAATGCAAAGTAATAAAATGCAAGTCTTTCTAAACTTATCTTCACTGTAAAAAAATATTTTCATGATTTTTATTTTGTCAAATCAACTTAAATAATTTATATAGTTCAGATAACATAATATTTTGAGTTTCTGCCAACCAGGTTACTTAATTTTTTAAGTTAAACCAACTATAATTTTTTTACAGTGTTGAGGAAAAGTCTCAATATTTATGAAAGGTCAAAAAACAAGCAGTTCATTTATCCCATCGTTTAGATAGAGCTGTGTCATGAGATCGGACGGAGTGTGTTAGTTAGTCACATGAGTTTTCCTGTGAGAAGCGCTGTCCACCCCACTGCTCCTTGATCTAATGCATGGTAATGCAGGTTGGCAGAGTGAGAGGAGAAAGGCAAATGAGAGTACCGTGCAGAAGAGAGATGGAGCGAGAAAAGAATGATGGGGAATGAGATTGGTCAGAGAAGATGAGAAATAAGTCCCCGTGTGGATTTGACTGGCTCAAACGACAAAGGAAGTGACAGTGGGATGATTTGCTTTCACCTGTAGTAGCGCTCACTTCAGAGTCTGTCTGAATGGGCATTTTCAGTGTAAGAAGATAAATATGAAATGGAAATGTGAAACCTGTTTTAATATGTAAAGCTCATCATTTTTTGTTCGGTTAGAAGAGTATGTTAGATAAATGGGAATTGTTTACCGATATGAAAATTTTGGCCGATACGATAATTCTTTATATTTGAAAGCCGATAACCGATATATCGGCCGATAAACTTAAATCCAAATTTGTATCTAATTTTGAGAGCCTGATTACAAAAACAAAAGTCTCACAATTAAATCCATGTCCCAAGCGCACAGTTATAATGATGTTCTCATTATAGTGTTGTATAGCCGATATGACATGTACCGTTGTACCGAACCGTATTTTCATTTTTTGAAGAGATTTCAATCATATTTCAAGACATAAAACATAAACAGTGCTCAACAAGCGTCTCAGCTGAAGGGAATAATACATTATTTATCGGCTTTAATATATCGGCCACATTTTCTTACCAGGCCGATAACGATAACATTAAAAATGAACATATATCGGCTGATACCGATATGCTGGCCGATATATTTTGCATCCCTAGTTTTCTTCCTTAAAGTCCAGTCGAATGTTTCCGGATTAGATTAGAATGTGTGTAGTGTGTATTTTTTTTCAGCAGTCAAATATTTCTAATAGTTTTTAGTGTTCAAATAAACACAAACCTTTACTTTGGATGCGATTAATCGTTTGACAGCCCTAAATAATACAGAATAATTGACTTACAATATGCACAATTATTTACATGACAGAACTGGTTTCCAGCACGTTATCACGGCACAAAAAGGCAACTTCGAGCCATCACGGGCGGCTTCTTAATTATTTTCATCCTCAGACAGGAAGTAGCATGACTGCCCATATCCTGTCTCAGGAGGCTTCAATGTAATTTGAGCTCTTTATACTGAGGTAATCTCATTGTCTGCGGACCAGCAGGAAAGACTTATTGGAAATCATCTTACATGAGCAGGAATATGTTTCTGCTGGTCAGACAGTAAAGGAACATGCAAAGTCATCACAAGCTCCTACTTCAGTGTTCCTCCTTACAACGTTGAACATGATGATTTTACTGTATTTAGTACGAGAGTAGAACTTGGCTGATGTCTTTGGCAAAAACTTTCCAACAAATTTGAACTGTGAACTTACCCTGACTGTGTGAGCTTCTTGTGATGGATCAGGTTGGTTTAATAAAGCTAACGGCAGTGGATCTGAGTGATGCTGTTGTCAAAGTTAACACAAATGAATTTCTGTCATCATTTGCTTCCCTCTCATAACACACGCACTCACACATACATTTACACATGCATTCATCCCGCTGACGACAGATGCTGACCCGTGAACCGTATCCTGGAATGATAAATGAATTGTTGGTAATCAATATGGGTGATGAAATGATAATCATTATCTTCACGCTTGACGTGCCCATCATAGTTCAACTGAAGTTCACGGTCCTAACCCTTATTTGCAGAGATGGGTGCTCGGTGAGATAACCGCTGTATGATTTTTTGCGCTAAAATGACTAAATGTGTTGTCTCAAACTCTTATTGAGCGGACAGCTGCATTCCACTCTGGGCATCTGATAAGTGACGGCAAACTGTCAGCCGAACGCTGGTCCCTCAGGGTCTGTCAAACAGCAGCACCATGTGATTCTTTGCTAAGTAGAATGATCTAATGACTGTTGCTGTGGTCAAACATGATGTAATAATGCTGAGGTTTGTTCCCCTGT